CTGTTCAGAAAAAAAGTTATGCAATAGTATTGCAAGCTCCCCCTCTTTGACACAGCTAATGAGAGAAACGGCAGCTGGGAGTCTACCAGTCAGTGTTCTGGACCTGCCAGTCCTATAGTGGAATGTTGTGGCCTTTATATGAAAGCTCCATAATTATTTGGAAAATGCTAACTTGAGGGCTAAAGTAGCAATTTGGTTTTTTGCTGGTCCTTTCCAAAATTTGCAAATCCTTTCAGTTTGAGCAAACACAACCAAACTGCAGTGTTTGGTGCTTCTTAAATACAAGGCCTCTAGAGGGAAGAAAACTCAGAATTTTAACTACTCTCACTTTTAGCACTGCAAACGAGGAATGTCTCTTTGAAAATGCATGCAGAGATGAGATGTACAACAAATGTGAAGTCATTGTGGCTAGCATGCCTGGTCTAAGTACTTGCTTTTCTCACAGTAGGAACCCTTCCTAGAGCTAGTACGTAGTCAAGCCAACAGATTTTTTTCAAAGCCCATGTCTTCACATAATATTTTTTAGAATGTATATATACATATATGCAACAGTGAGTGCTTGTTTTTTACAACAGGGGACAAGTGCACCTTAACAAAATCTTCATAAGCAAAGGAATACAACATTTGCCCTACGACATAGCAAAGCAATGACAACACTCACATGCTGTTGACCTCAACTAGCAACATAGCAGTAAAAGATGAAGTGCCCTGTCTCTAGCCCAAAGAGTAGAACAAGACAGTAATTTCAGTTAGTTATTTCACTGAATATCCATCCTTCCCTCTCTCCTCACAAATTAAAATAAGTGTAATAAAAAGAACACCTTCTTTGGCAGTTAATACATAATTAAGAGCCAAGTCAGAAGGCGACTGACTTCCTCCACCCTCCTGAATCATTACTGTGCATTTATTAAATTTACAGGTAATAATAAATTAGAAAGGGCTGAAGGCACTTGGGAACGTGGGGTAAGAATTTAGTATGATCTCAGCCATTGGGAAAAATGAGCTGAAATATGTGGGGAAAAAAAGTCCACATGGAAAAGTGTGAAGTTATGCAGTTGAGAAGAAAGCCTCAGCTGAACACCTTCGAAATGGGCAGCAACTCTCCTACTAGCAGCAACTCCTCAGAAAAGGCTCCAGCAAACCTGTGGGGTGAACACAAGTCAGTGGTGCCACGTGGCTGCATGCAAACTAAACACCACAGTGGAATGTCGAATCAGGAGTGCCAGGTGTAGGGTGCATCAAGTCACCACACAGCGTGGATAAAGCACACCGTGGTGTAACCTGCTGGGAGCACTGCGCTTCCAGAAGGAGGCACACAGACTGGAGAAAATACAGAGGACAACAAAAATGAATGGAAAACATAACCTATGAGGAGAGACTGAAAGCTCTGACTTTGTTTAGACTAGGAAAGTCTGAAGGGAGACGTGATAACAATCTTCAAGAATGCAGAAGAATGCTGCAAAGCGGAGGTAATAAATTATGCTTGTGCCTAACGGGTTAGGACAAAGACTAATGGGTTTAAATTGCAGCTAGAGAATTTACCACCTGGAGAAGCTGTAGAATCACTATCACCAGAGATTTTTAGGAACAGGTTAGACAAACATCTGTCAAGAATGATTTAGATGTAGCTCCTTTGGGCTCAGGAGCTGGCCTTTGGAGATGGCTTCTCAAGGTTTTTCTTTCTTCTGTAACTGGATGACAGGATCAACTCGATTACCACATCTTAAAACACATCTGTTCAAGGCAGACTTTTTTCTTTTCCAGTAAAACAAAGTAAAACAAAACCCAACCATTCAAAAACTCTCCCTCACTTGTATGAAAGTGAAAACATGAGGTCATTTGCTCACATTTGTTAGTATACTGCAAGTGTTTCAATTTGGTTTGTTTAATTGGAGCCAATATATAAGATTAGTCTGGAGACTTTAAAACAATCCAGGAATGGAATACATTTCCTTTTATTAAATCAAATTAATTGTTGCTATAATTCTACTCACTGATGCCACTGTATTTACACAATGTTTTTGATCCAGTATCTTCAGCAAAATTCTGCTTTCATGGAAATATATACAGCAGGGACCCTCAGTTAAAATTTAACATTTTGAATTAATAGATATATTTTTCAAGGAAATATATTATATTCACATCAAATATGCAGTGATTAAACAGAAAATAGTTAATATGGGACTTGTTTGCTTCAGCAACCTCTGCCGGCCTCCTCAGGTGTATGTTGCTTTCAGAGCTTCCACTATTCACTCACCAAAAATCACTAGAAATACATTGTTCTCCCTTGAACACTACTGAATTGCCTGGACAGAGTCCACTCTGTGCATCATGCGTGAATTTTCAAAATTTAATGGAATCTCTCCTGCTCATGAATCCACAAAGTAAGCCAAACCATTTTCTCTCACACACAAGACTTCCTTTCTCAACTTACTTTGTTTCTGCTTTTTTTCTGTGCCTTATTTCCATTTTCTCTATGCTCCAGAGTTTGCCACAAACCCATATGGGATATACCATCACAATTAAAACACACTCTGGTTTCATTCTAAACAACTCAGAAAAGATCTGGCTTCCCCCTACATCCTTAGAGAATCAGACTACAATATTTTTGGAATCCTGCTTAAAAGAAAATAATTTAGTGACATTCATTAAAAAAATATCCACTGGGAAAGTCCTTCACATAATAGCATGCAGAAAGATAGGAAAACACCACTCCTCTCCTTAAAATCTAAGGACATTCAAGGACAGATGCTACATTATGATACAATAAACATTTAATGAAACCAGTTATTCTTTTGCCAATTGTTTTCCTCACACACCAATTGTTTTCCTCACACATGTTCCTTCACATGCAGCCTTCTGATTTGCATGAGATTTGGGAGATACTCTGCAGTCACTTTTTTGTTCCAAAAAGTCTGAAAGCAAAACCAAAATTCTTCCAAAAGACCTATTAAGTGTTCATATCTCTGTTTGAGACAGCTTGATAATTGAAATAAGTTATCCATCTTATTTAATCAGGAAATTTTCCTATCTGCTTTTAGAACTGCCTCATTTCAGATGGTTTTGTCTTTATGCCAGAAACTGAAAATATAAATTGTCAAGATTGCCTATTTAAAACCTAATACGTATTGCTTTTGAGTGTACAGTGATGTTTTGCAGAGTAATCTTATATAACTGTAATCCTTCAGTAACTGAGTATAGTCTCCCATGTCCTTCTATCAAATGGATCTCAAAAGGATAATCCGGTGGTTGTGAAAGTTTAAAATACAGCACTATAGGAATGGCTGGTAGCACCATCTACAACTGTATTTTTCTTTTATTTGCCACTAGAAAATCTGCTTTCAAGCATTTGATTTTGCCAGACTTTAAGTGTGTCAGATGAAGTTTTCCATTCTGAAAACCACAAGCATTCAAATATTTCTGAGGAACCTAGGGAAAAAAAAAAATGTTTGGAACATTAAAAAAAAATAGTAGTGAATTGCTATTTGAAAAGATGTAGGACAGAATCTCTCTTACTTCTTCTCAAGGAAGAAGGGGTTAAGAAATTCCTGAGTTATCAAGGAGCTGCACATACGCCAGTCCTGAGAAGATGACAGCATGTACTCAGCATGGATTCATGATGACGTGGTCATGGCCAAAATGTCCTAAGAGCTTTTCTGTCCAGCAAAAGTCCTGACAAAATAAGCAGAAGGTGTCTTTTTTGAATCTTACTTTAAGGAAATTGATATAATCTCCCTCAGATTTGGAAGAACTCTTTCTGCAGAGATGAAACTGAGATGAAGAGGGATTATTGAGATACCCGTGGAATGGCTGGAGTCTGCCAGTAGGTAGACCCAGAAAGTAGGAGAGCTATAAAATTGTAGCCCTTCCCTTTTACTTCTGCCCCATGAACTTGTGACAAACTCCATGCTTGCAGCAGGGCTAAAAATTGGTCTTACGGTGTCCTGTGTCTCAAGAATGCTTTTCTTCTGGCTGCAAAATTTAGTCTTTTTTTAATTAGCAATAATTACAGTTCACACACCCTCAGTAGATGGTTCAAATTCTCCAAAGAGTCTGTACCAACTAAGCAAGCTTCAATCCACAGCTAAGACCTTCCTTCCAATTGCAGTTGTGGGCCATGCTAGTTTTCTGCAATTGAACAGTGATTCTTAGTGTGCAGTCCAGAAGTTATACATGAGAAAGCACTTAAATAAACTTTGTGGTTCTCTGCAGTGGCCATGAAAACTCCCATCTTGCTGATCGTCCATGAGGGTATCAGTATGTAGCCACATGGTAGAATGGACTTTTTGTTTCCATTTGTATTTGAACCCAAAAAAAGTGTTTGTTAATGTATATTCAAGACAAGTAAACAGACTTTTTATTTCCATTTGTATTTGAACCCAAAAAAGTGTTAATGTATATTCAAGACAAGTAAACAGGGAAGAACACAAAAACTGAGCATTTTTTTTCCCAAAACTTTATTTTCATATTACTTAAATCTTTTGAAAATATTTAAGCAGTAATTAAAATACAAAAATAACTTGCTTGCATATAAGGTTATTTTGGTAATATTACACCGTAGTAACAATGTTTTCTAAAGAGATTACCTTTCTCACATACTCCCTAAGATATAAGCAGAATATAAGACAAAGGAAAATAAAAAAATCTGTAAAATTTTGCCTTTAATATCCATGCTGACTATAGTAACCCTAAAGGACTATAATAGAAGGACGATCCTGGTATTCTGGAAAGAGAGCAAATTCTTCCTTCTTGCAGATTAATTTAAATATTTGGTCACAGGCAAAGGTAGTGATAAAATTGGGCCAGTTGTTACTTTTACTACATTTGCAATCTGCACAAAGATGGTCTCAGTCTAGCAGAGTACTACAGGTACTACAGTATTACATCTAGGCATAAGTATCCAAGAAGTCTTCTGAAAGCCACTTCCATAGTGATGAGCTAGACTGAAGTCAGGCTCTTTCTTTTCTTGATCTCTTTCCACTATTTTTGCAAAGAACAAGTTATATCTATACAACAGAAAAGCTTCAAGAACAGTTTGAGGAACTTGCAGAAAACCAAATCAGAAGAAAACTTCAGTTTAAAAAGGAATATCATGTTTCTTGCAGTTACGGGTCTCCTGTCTCTCAGCAAACCGTTATCCTCAGAGCACTAGAGCCAAAGTTCCATGGGCTGTCAAACATCAAGGTAGGAACAAATGGAGTTTGCCATCCAAGGTGGCTGTGGTGAGCTGCAGTTCAAAAGAAATGAACATATGGCTTTAATAAAGATCTTTCCAGTGAGTGAAGTTTGCTTTAATGGGCAACCAGTTGAATGAAGACTATTAAGAAGATATTTAAATTACTTCTATATTAAGAAAACCAGGATACATTTCAAAAATAAAAGCAACAACTTAAGCTACAGGCTCTTCTAAACCAAGCTAGTCTGAAAAATTCTTTTTACTTTGATTTTTCTTTTCCGACCATTTTCAAATTTGTGTCAGGATCAACTAACACATCAGCAGTCTGTAAAACTGAAGCATATGTATAAACACATAGAAAATCAAACAGGCCTCAGCATGTAAGGCTCAAGAAGGGAGCATGGAAGAAATATGAAAGGGATGGAATGACTGAAGATGGAAAATAATCAAGATGGCAAATCTGGCATACCAACAAATGCAGTTTTCAGATTTTTAGTGGTGTTAAACATGCTCCAGCAATTTCCTTAGTAAGAAAGTATACTGAAAAAAGCAATAAGCTTATAAAAGGGCAAGCCTCAATGACATGCATAAGAGCCCTCAACTGCTCACTTTCACCAATCTAATGAAATCTTATATTTAAGATGAGAGAAATACTATTATCTGCCATTATGTCTACAAATACGCACTTGAAATTGTGCTGTGCTTTGGAAAATTAACAGCATCTTTCATTCATGAGGTTTACTCCTTGCTTATTAAGATACACATTTACTGATGCCAGTGACAAAACTGAAGAGCTGGAACCAGAATTGCATCTCATGCTCTAACCAGTTCATCCTAACCGCTCTCACCAAATCACTGTAGTTCTGTGTTCTTCACCCTTAGTTTTTTTGATTTGCTCTTTGTCTTTGATATGGTAACTCACTTATTTTCTTCCTTTGGCTGAAGTGGCTCTATGGTCAATAAATTACTTTCTTGGCTTTGTCTTCTCTCTTTCAGTATCTCCAATGACAAATTATTTTAATCTCTCACATTGTTATCTCCTCCTACGCTGTGACTTTAGTTCTTTTATTCTCACTCACTTACATAATCTTAAAACTGTAGACTACTCAGGACTGTCCAATTTGCTGTTTCTAACTGTATTAATTTCAGCCATCCAAGACAATTACTTCTCTCACAAAGACTGTCACTGGTTCCTTACTTACCTCTGTAACTTTTTATTTGATATTTTATGACTATAAAGTATCTAAGTAATCTATCCTTTCTAAGTTTCTGTATGTATATATAAGATGTTTTTATTATTAATATAATCTTACTGAAGAGCTTACCTAACTGTATAAATCTGAGATGTATTCTACTCTAATTGAAGTTTCGTTATTAAGAAGATAATGTAGAACCCTTGCTTAGTTCTCAATTGAAAATAAAATAATGGTAAAGTAATTGAATTTATCTTATTTTTTTACAACCAAGGAGGTCATCTCATCCAATGTCTTGCTTTAAGTGGGACCACTGAAAATACTAGAACAGGTCAGCTACAGCTTTACCTAGCTAAATACAGAAAAAATACAAGGACAACCCATTCAGGTATTGCACTGCCCTCCTAATGATTTTCTTTTTTCTAATATGCAATATGAACCTCAAAAGCTGCCATGTGTGGCCACTGCCTCATCATATCCTCTGACACTACTGAAACAGAGCTTCCACTTGCTAAATATAAATGTATTGACTAAACTACTATTACATTACCCTTCTAGAGTCCTGATTGTACCCTCCATGAAAAATAACCTTCCTCCTTCATCTAGGCACCTATTTCCACACTTCTGACAATACAAAACCAGAGAAAACTAGAAAGGTTTGCTGACTAAAAAAGCCTACCTTCTGTCTTCCTTCTTAAAATCCCGCTGAACTAGGGGTCCCAAAACTGGGCCCCTTAATCCAATTATGGCCTCACCAATGCTGATCCCTTGATCTGCTGGCCACACTACTATGACTACATACGTAGTCCAGTCCATGGTTTGCCTTACTCTCAGTGAGAGCCTGGGATTTCTGAGTTGGCTCAAATTCAGTTTGGCAAACATAATAAGCCAAAAGCTGATTGCTCAGCCAGTCACTTCCCATTCTCTACCAGTGCATGACTCACTATGTCCCAGATGCAGAATTTTGACTTCTCCTTAATGAGAAACCCTCATGGTGTTTCTTTGGACCAGTCCTCAAGGTCTCCTTAGATTACAGTTCTGCCGTTCAGCATGTCAGCTACTCCCTGTAATTTAGCTTAATCTGCAAATTTTCTAAATACTTTGGCGGTCTGTCTTGCCATCCAGGTTGTTGATGAAAACAGTGACTAATAGGGACCCCAGAATTGGCCCCGTGGTACTCCACTCATCACCTTACATTATCTGGAAATAAATCATTAATCACTATATTTTGAACACAGCAGTCCAGTTGATTTCAGGGAATAGCTGAAGTATTTTGTAAATGATTAGTAAATATATGTCTTATTTTTCCTGAGTCCGAGGAAGCATTGTATAGTTACAAGTCAAAGATGCATAACACCTTTTTTCTCTAAATAATTTAAAAGGTTGTTTAAATTATCTGCTCAAATATATTTCAGTTCAAAAAATATTTCAGTCTTATGTCTTCATTTCAAGTGACATCAAAATTTCAAGGGATAGAAGTCATCAGAAAAATAAAACAAAGTGACATGACATTTTAGGAAGCCAGATATAATAAAATGATTGCAATTAAATTATTGGAACTGCACTGCAAAATCCTCCACTTTCGATTTTTTTTTAATATACTGAAGTAGTAAAATATTTGTTTTACTTATTCTTTCTTCTCAAATATACATTGATTGAATCATAAATTTGAACTTTTCCTTCTCAATCTCTTAAAGGTAAGCAAACAAAACACCCTAAGAAAGTTTCCATCTTCCTCTTCTCCAGTCTTTTATCTCACAAATAAACATGTGTTCACTAGATTATTATTCTCCTGCAAAATATCTGACTGTGGAACTCATATCAACCATTACAGAACTTTCACTTTGCCCCATAAAGGAATAAGCAGCTAACAGGCTCTTTCCATTAGTCTGATTACAGTACCATATAGATTATGAGAAGGAGGTAGTGGGGTTTCCTTGGAAACAGTTTACTTTCTGGTTATGCCTTGAAATCTGAGCAGGGGAAACAAAAACAGGCCATTTATTGTTTCTTGCATACAGAGGTTTGTGAGTAAGAAATATAAAAGGTCAAAATATTGGGCTGGGCATTAGGCTAAGATGCAGGCTGAAAGAAACAGAAGAGAGAAAAGCCTTCTTCCTAAACTTCTTAATCTTAATAGCAACCTAAATAGCATTAGAAATCTTAATAGCATTTTTTTCTTGCACTACATACAGACTTAATGTATTGCTTATCTTGAACACAGAAGACCATACCAGTGTAATATTGGTAATAACATATACATTTAAACAGTAGAGCTTACACTGGTCTCTCTTTTTTCTTCAGAATACAACCAAAGATGTTTTAAAATCAATGCACAACAATCTGCCGAAAATTATCAAAACATGCTAATGAGATTAACCTCCAAAGAATGCTAAAACAGTAAAGTTTTATTTAAATCACAATTTTAAAATCCTTTTCCTATGTAAACCCCTTCAGCTGTAGTAGATATGTAAGAAAAAAGCAGTGAAATAAAGAATAAACAAGAAAATAAAATGAGAAAAAAATGCATATATATAAAAAGGACACAAAGAATTCCACACACTAACTTTTCCTTGAGAAAAAGTTTTCCAACTAAAAATCGTAATGGAAAAATGTAGCATTAACTGGCTCGCTCATTTAGTTTCCAGTCAGCTCCATTCAGTGCCAGAAACAGAGGATATGAACCCTATCCCAAAGCCATATGGACCCTATGGCTTTGAAAAATCATCCCTGAAGCTGCTTCAATCAGATGACGAATTCTTCATGACAAATGGTTGCATTGGGTTTACAGGAATAGCTGCTATTTTCTATTTTCAAACCAGCAATCACTGTTCAGGGAAGCCTTTGTTTATGGTTTAGCAAATCAGTCACTCTTGCTACTCCTCCAATTTTCTTATGTGGCATATACTGGTATGATTATTAAAGCATAACTTACTTGGTTATTTACAAATACTTGCATATGTGATTGAAAAAGCAATGATGAGAGTTATATTGTGCTTTTATTTCTAACAGTGATTAGATACAACCTAGATATTACAGCAAAATATAGCCATCAGCCAGCATTTCAGAATAGTGTATTTCTGCACACGTATGAGCGTTTAGGTAACACAGGAAACTTTTCTGTACAAAATGCGGAGTTCAAAGAACTAAGAATCATGAAAGCCTAAATGGCCATTGCATGAGATGTCAGCCTTCTGGGTCATTTTTTACTCCAATTTAGGTGTTTAAATTCTGTTTATATATAGTTCTCAAAATGGGGTTAATGCAACTTTTACTAATATCTGACAACACATTGTGAGAATACTTATAAAAACAACAAAATGTTTATCCCAAATTACAATTTTAACTTCAGTTTAAGAATATCTTTTAAGTTTCCATTTTAAGTTTAAGATCATTTGGATTTCAAATAGAAAGTTGCTTCAAGTTCACAGAATTTAAATTACCAAGAAAAATGTTGTCTTGTTTTTCCAAGTAAAGTAGAATTCATCCCAGAGTTCCTTAACAGTGTTTGCAGTAAATTCAGGGCCTAAAGTCATCTCCCATAGCCTTTTCGTCTTGTAAATTATCATATTTTGACCCTCATCAAATTGAATTTTTTATAGGGAACAAATTTTAAAAGAGAAAAGCCTCCTTTTTTGCCAAAGTAATTTTTTATAAACAATTCACATATACAAAACAATACTGAACTGTTATAAGCTAACATTTTCTTTCTTTCTAAAAGAAAGATTAAAAAAAAAATCAAATGCATTCTGCATTGCATCTTTTTAGTTGACTCCCATGAGAAAACTGAGTCTGCAGTTGGATGATGGGATGCAAAATAGCATCCCCTCACTGCTGGCCTGGCACGGCTGGCTCTAC